TTTTTTTTTTTTTTTTTTTTTTTATTAAAGGCAATTCATTGGGTCTAAGTCATATGTTTCTTTTAATTTTCCATATATATGCTTTGTTTTCACCAGATTGTAAGCCCTTCTAGTGTAGAAACAATGCTTTATTTGTTATCCAGTTACTTAATGTAGTAGGCTGCATAGGGCAGTCTTTCATTAAAAGGGTTATTGATTTAAGATTTTTCTTAGCTCTTTTCATTCCTAGAACTTACATTCAGTTATTCCTTGGGAGAATGTGCCCTGGTTATTAACTCTTAGACTGCCTGAGTGTTTCCACTTTCTTTTATCTATTTCTCTTCTTTCTAGGTTCTGTTCAGGGCAAGGCACAGGCTCTAATGCTAACTGGGAAGGCACTGAATGTAACTCCTGACTATAACCCTAAGGCCGAAGAGCTTCTGTCAAAAGCTGTGAAGCTGGAGCCCGAGCTGGTGGAAGCCTGGAACCAGCTGGGTGAGGTGTACTGGAAGAAAGGGGATATTACAACTGCTCATACATGCTTCTCAGGAGCCCTCAATCATGTGAGCTGCCCATTCCCTTGGAAAACATAGATGGGAAGGATGGAATTTTTTTGGTTCTGTGAATTTACCTAGGCCATGAATAACAGAGAAATGACAGAGTAGAACTGAATTTTTTTTTTTTTTAGAGGTTTTCGCTATAGGGCATGTGCACTCGCCAGAAAGAGAGAGACAGAGAGATAGAAAGCAAGAAATCACCCTCCCAGGGGGGATGGCCACGCCACAATCCCTTCTCCTCCATTTTCCTCTCGGGATCTTGGGCACGCATGCACACGCGCCTGGAGTGAGTTTAAGTCATCAGGTCCGGGACTCGAACCATGGTGGACTACATGGGAGTTCAGCAACATAGCCATTATGCTAACTGCTGGTCCCTAGAACTGAATTTTTAATGAGAACAGAGTCAGAAGGGAAGAAGGGTCATGGAGCATATATGGATGAGGAAAATAGGGGAAGGAGATTGAGAAAAGAAGAAAGCAATGGTATCAGGTTCAGGGGTAGATGAGAAGTGAAGAAAAGTTAGCAAAGAAGCTGATCCTTATAGATGGGGGTTCAAGATGCAAATGTCAGCAGTAATTAAGGTGAAACATTAGATTTAGGAGAAGATGGAGATCAGCGTATCTGGAATGGGAAAGTAGAATTGGGAGAGCTGAGTATACGTCTTCTTCATTTGCAGTGCAAGAACAAAGTTTCCTTGCAAAACCTGTCAATGGTGCTTCGCCAGTTGCGGACTGACACTGGAGATGAACATTCTCGCCATGTCATGGACAGCGTCCGACAGGCTAAGTTGGCTGTGCAGATGGATGTTCTTGATGGCCGCTCTTGGTGTGAGTGCTCTCAAAAGATATCCGCGTTTCTAGAGTAGGTTCTTTACCATGGCTGCAAACCATAATGATGGACAAATCATCGTTTATTAAAGAGGTTTTTGCCTTAGGGCATGTATGCTTGACTCAGAGAGAGAGACAGACAGTGAGAGGGGAAGTGCGAAATCACCCTCCAGGTGAGATGACCACACCACAGTCCTTTTTCCTCTATCTTTCTCCTGGGATCTTGGGCATGCACTAATAACGCACCCAGCGTGAGTTTCAAGCCGCTGGATCCCGGACTTAAACTGTGGTCAACCATGTGGGAGTTCACACGTAACCACTATGCCATCTGCTGGTCCTAGGAGCCCGTCTTTTGAATGTGACTCTAAGAGTAAAGTCAGGGCATCTTTGTTCTACAGGAGCACAGAAAGTATTTTTATGAGCCACTCTTCAAGGAAATCTGATTCAAGAAAGGACATTTATATTTTTACATAAATCTACATAAATAAGAAAATACATTTTTATAGTCTGTTCAGGTTTCTCTGTGAAATCCATGTGTTTTTTTTTGAGAGGTTTTTTTTTTTTTTTTGCTTTAGGGCATGTGTGCTTGCCAGAAAGACAGAGAGAGACAGAGACAGAAAGCGAGAAATCACCCCTTCAGGGAGATGGCCACGCCACAATCCCTTTCTCCTCCATTCTCCTCTCGGGATCTTGGGCACGCATGCACACGCACCCAGAGTGAGTTTAAGCCACCAGGTCTGGGACTTGAACCATGGTCGACTACGTGGGAGTCCAGCAGCATAGCCATTATGCCAACAGCTGGTCTCCCACGTTTGGAGTTTTGGGTATATCAGTGGAGTTTTGGGTATATCAAATATAGTGTCATTCCCGGTCAGCCATAGGGCTTTTTAGACTTTGGAGTGTAACCAAAATAGAGCATATCTTGGACTTGATTCTGAGATGATCCACTGTTCTGTTTGTCTTTCAGATATTCTGGGGAATGCATACCTTTCTCTTTTCTTCAATACTGGTCAGAGCCCTAAGATCTCCCAACAAGCCCTCAGTGCCTATGCCCAAGCAGTAAGTACTTATGGTCTCCCAGGCCAGATGAATAAAGGTGGCATCAGAAGCAAGAGCATCATTCAGCCTTCCTTGTGGCCTTTTTTTTTTTTTTTTGGAGAGGTTTTCGCTATAGGGCGCGTGTGCTCTCCAGACAGACAGAGAGAGACATAGAGACAGAAAGTGAGAAATCACCCCCCAGGGGGGATGGTCACGCCGCAATCCCTTCTCCTCCATTAACCGTGATCGACTACGTGGGAGTCCAGCGACATAGCCATTATGCTAACTGCTGGTTCCCCCTTGTGGCCTTTTAGCAGGCAGTGTGTGTGGTTTTACAAAGCTCTGTCTGTAGAAGTGACTTATTTCTTCCTGTAACTTGAATGCTAGGAAGCACTTGCAGTGTGCTATCTTGGTGCTACATAGCTATGTAGGTGTCTTATAGGTATGTCTGACCAAATCACAGGACTTGCCTCAATATATTCATCTTTTCTGTTTAATTGCCAGATGTTGTGTGCATTCTGAGAGAGAGCGAGTACCTGACCCCCTCAAATTGACCATAAGAACTTTTTCCTCCACTTCCTCATCCTGTCAGGGTTTTAGGCATGCATGCACATGTACCTGGTGTGTTTTTTCAAGCTGCTGGGTCCAGGATTTGAACCACGGTTGACCTCGTGGGATCTGGCTTTTTACGCACAGTGCTTAACTGCTGAGCTATAGGGTTGGTCCATATTCATGTTTTTAGTGGTAAAAAGTCTATTAAAATAATGCTGTTAATATTTGTGTACATTTATTTTAAAGAAAAATGAAAACTCTAATACTTAAGTGTAAGGTAAGTGCTGTCTCCAGTTTAACCATTAGCTGGTATGGCTCTGAATTTCCCATAGGCTGAAAGAGAAACAGTGTGTAGCCTATACTACATTGTTTCCTACAGTTTAATTTATTGACGCTCATGCTTTGCTTAGGCTTTCAAGCCATTTTTATATTGACAGACACTTGCAAGGGGTTTTTCTTCAGACTTTGAGTGCCTGATTACTCATTATAAGAAGGATCACATGGGTCTGTTTTTTTTTTTTTTTTGAGAGGTTTTCACTATAGGGCGCATGCGCTCGCCAGACAGAGAGAGACAGAGACAGAAAGCGAGAAATCACCCCCCAGAGGGGATGGTCACACCGCAATCCCTTCTCCTCCATTCTCCTCTTGGGATCTTGGGCACGCACGCACACGCGCCCAGTGTGAGTTTTAAGCCACCGGGTC